CCCCAAAACCCCAAAACCCCAAAACCCCTTCCAGCATGAAATTATTGAAATTTTATGATTCTGTATCATTTTTAAGATGCAAGCTATTTGTCTTCAAGAACATCCTATATCTCTTCAGCCTGCTCTTTGACCAGTTGAAACCTCTTTGTATTACCCTTGAGCTTTCAGCTCTATGAGTTATTAACGGAAGTACCTCTTCTGGGTGATGAACTTCTTCTGACGACATTTGTTCCTGATGTAACTATGATTTTACTTTGATGAAATACCTTGCTAAACTTTCTCTCATTTTATTATTTGGTGAATTAGTTGTACTGTCACTCATGAAAGGTCCAGTTCTAAACATAAGAAAGGGAAATACTCTGCCGCATTTTTCAAAGGCGATTCATGTACTAATGAAGTTGGGCTCTGAAGTCTGTAGAACTCGTCAATAGGCTTTTGTTCAATCTCTCTTTTCTCTTTCTTTGAAATTTTGCTCTTTCCCTTATACTTAGGAAAACTCTTTTTAGTCTTTAAAGTTATGGAGGCTACATATTTTATGAGAATGCCTTACTGTTAACCTCTTGAAAGTCTTTATCTTTCTGAAGCTTCATAATCTGCCCTATTTTTTGGTTTAAAATTTTCAGATTTTTAGCCCTAAATTCATCTTCCGAAATCAACTGAAAGTTTTTATTAAGTCTTGTTTTCGCTTTAAATCCAAGATCTGAGGATGACCTCTTTCATAAAGAGCTGTAATCAGCTATGCAGTTACAATTGAAGCATACCTGGAGGAACTTGGTACTGAAGAGCGAGATTTCCCTCATGAGTTGTCTAAAGTTATTAGAGAGCCTTACCATATCACCAAATTGAGTATCGTAGCATGAATTTTTAGTAGTTTCGCTGGTTTTTACACCTAATACTCCTTTATCATACAGTTTATTGAGTTTGAGCTGAATTTTACATTAAAATTATACTTTTCTAAAACTTTGGTTAATGACTTCTGTCGATCTCCTCTCGTAAAAATATGCTTTGTCTCCTCTCTGGCTGTTCAGGGTACCTAAGCTGGATGTAGAAGTTTTAAGAAACTGAGAGTTTCTTGATCAAATTGGATATAAAATGGCTAAGAAGGAAAATAACATACTTTCTGTCTATAGGGTCAACATTTGGATACCTTATTTTCGCTGAAAATCAATCTGCTCATTTGGAGTGAATCATTTAGAAACAACTATCTGGTATACACCCCTTTGAGTTTGAGCATTTAGACGCTTATTTTGTGTTGGTGATCGCTTGGGAGCGTTAATTCATCACTGCTTTCTTTTCTTTCCTTTATTTTGGTGCCACTTTGGAGACATTTTGAGGCCTTCTCAGTCTGGAATTAGTTTTAAAATACCTTCAATATCATGAAAAGAGCCTGTTTTTATTCTAATCTCCAATTTATTTAGGAAATGACTTTTCTTGATTGCATTCTTTGAGATTACTTTTCAGAGAATTTTCTTGTAGCTTTTTCTAAATTACTCATGAAACCAGTTTACCTGATTATATGAGGAGACAATAGTTTTCCTCTCTGATTGAACTGAGTCTAAACTATCAAAAACATCTAATAACTATTTCTAGGGTGTCAATGGGCGGATCTGATAGATTCATCTATATAAAATAAATCTCCCAATGAAATTTACTTTTATTTATGCCTGTGTTTCAAATAAATTTTGAAATAGTCATATCCATCATTCTGAAGGCCAAGGCTGCAATTACTGTCTTTCATCCCTATAAGTCATTAATTAGAGCTGTGATGGTGCTTAGCATAAAATTGATGGCTTCAAATTGAGAAGGGAACCTAACTTCAAATACAATTCCATTACCTTGTTTTAAAATCAATAAATTGAAAAATCTCTGGGGTTTTGGGGTTTTGGGGTTTTGGGGTTTTGGGG